ACATAGACTTATGTGCCCTGATGTTCTCTATCCAACGGTTAAAACCGCAGCTCTCTATGACCTTCCCTCCAAAAGTTATAAGAATTCTGCCGAAGCGACTTATTTTCAGAAATGGATAATAGTTGTTTTCTGTTCTAATTCAATGCTTTTTCTTTTCCGATTTTGACTTCATAACAGTGGAAATTTAAATCTATATTCATTACGATAACAAAAAAGATTTTTTCTCTCTATCAATAGATGATTATGAGTTTTCAAAATTCTTTTGATCGTATTTAATTAAAAATATTAAACCAGAATAGTTAACACACAATACACGAGTTTATTGAGATTACTCCAATATGCCTCGTGCAGTTTATGGAACAATAGTAAACAATTCTAGTTATGTTGTGTGGTTCTTTCAAAATTTTGAATGTTTACCAACCACATTAAAAACATGTCAATCATCGAGTAACATATTTGCTGATACTGAAGAAATGAAGGAATTATGTGGTAAATATATGCCCTTTTTTTGCTGTTTCATTATCACAAAATAAGACAGAATGGAATCGTATGTTTAATTTCAAAACAAAACTTTCACTCAACGATTATTTTATTCTATTTGAAAAAATTCTTCATGATGAAAGTAATTTGCAAGACAATCTTGATCGTATACAAAGAATTTATTCTCTTATTCTTAATGATATTTGTTCTTGGTCGGTCGATGACCAAAGAATCGTAAAAACACAAGCAAATTCATTATATCTAGTATGTGAAAACAATCAATGGAAATTGGGAAGTAATCTATATATCTACATGGAAGAGAATGTAACAAATAGTAATTTAAATGATTCTATCCCTTGTGTTAAACTCGATAATAATAAAAAATCATCCGAATTTATACAAGTTTTTGGATCTATTTAATATAAATCAGATTAAAATGAATGATTTAATGCTTAGGGACAAGAACACTTCTCATGCTGAACAACTTCGAATAAAATTAATTGAAATTTCACTATTTTTAAAAGAATTATATATTTCATATGATGTTATTTCATCAATAGACAAATCCATTCAAGAAGAAATTTATTTTCTTGAATCTGATTCTTTAGCATTGTTTTACAATGGAAAAATAGTCGAAGAAATAAACATATATTTTGATATAGTTCATCAAAAATTTTATGTAACTCGACTATGGAACAGTGAAATAGCATTGCTGGATCTTCCGCATAAATTATGCCAATTATTAAATATAGAAGGATTTGAAGATTAACTTAGATTTTTATTGAAAGCAGAAAGAGAAGAACTTATCAAACATTTTACAAAACTTTCAATTGAAATACCAATAGATACAGATATTACCTCAGAAATCTTGCTAGAATCAGATTCATTTGTTAAAAATAATTTTCTTTGCCATTGTCTTCTTTTCTCCTTTTGACTTATTTATAGAAGCTATCAAACGGTTCGGATCTTTTACAACATTGCCATCGGAGTTAATCCAACCGGTTTCCTATTTTCAAAATAGAGAAACAAGCAGTGATGAAACATCAATTGATACAGATGAGATAGAAACATATGTTCGCAATCCAATTAAACAAAACCATAGTGCTGATTCTTCAGCTGGAAAAAAACATCAAAGTAAAAGTATATCACATCGTCGCCATCGTATTTATTATGGTAATTATTTCTCAAAAACAAATTTTTTTCGTCTTGATTTTCTCATACCAAAATGTTAGAAAATTAAGCAGATACGTTTCGATTAGTTCTATAAATTATTTGTTTACTTTGATCACTTTTAAGAAATTGATATATTAATTTTGATAAGATTTTCAGAAGAGAATTCTTGGATCGTTGATAATCATGCATTTTATTTTCAATAAAATCAAAGGAGAAATATGAAATGATATTCATGTGTAATTGTAAAAAAGTTTCAAGAGTAAAGTTTACTTTCTCCAAAAAATTTATTAAATTTCATATTCAGATTCGATTCAAATCTCAGCAAAGAAAATCAATACAGCATCGTCAGAATCGAGAAGATCATTATCATTCAGTTTGATTGAATCAAATGACGAAAATATTAAATTAATCGATATATCATCAATATCAACGTCAAGTTCAAAACCAATAAAAAGTCCATTCGATAGAATTGAAGAAAATGGGGGTTTGAATTTACATACAGGTTCTAATGGTGAACAGACTGTTTATGAATATTTGTTATATAAATATCGTCATCAATTAGATTCAGTTTCTATTAAATGGAAAAATCAAAATGGAGAAGCTCATTTATCTTATGATATATTATTAATTGAAAATGGAATAAAACATTATATTGAAGTAAAATCAACACGAACAAATGATCAACATTCCGGCCAATTATCAATTAATAAAATCAAAGCTATTTTACAATAAAGAGAAAACTATTCTATCTATCGTATTTATTTAGAAGAAAAAAATGCATTTTAGATAATATTTGATGGCGTATA